GTGTGTGTGTGTGTGTGTGTGTGTGTGCGTGCATGTGTCACTATATGAAGCTTTCCTTTTAAACGCTACAAGATATTTCCATTTTGAAAAAGAAAAAAAGCATCATGTAAAGTTCAGTCTTCAGTTCTCGTCAAGGAAGAGGACGCAGTCAGTGAACTGAAGCAACAGTGTTGGCTCTAATTGAAGGTTTACACATGTATTTGTTTTTAAATGACCAAACTAAAATGAGGTCTATCCCGTGTGAAGATCAGGGAAAAACTTAAAATGTTTTTTAAAAAACCTGCACAATAATTGAACAGTAACACTCAGGTATTACCATGAGAAAAGTCATGTATGAGTTCAGTGTAGATCTGAAGGGGCGCAAACACTTTCACACTCACCATCCGTATTTCAAAACCAGCAATGGTGTCTCGTCTGGACAGAGATATTTAAATCCAGAATAAAATATCTGCAGTAGAGTTAGACAAAGCCTTTATTGAATTATTGATTATCGTGAGTTTATGACCTTATTCAGGTTGAGTTCATCAGAAAATGCTGTTTACATGAGCGTGACAGGTTATTATCAGAATGTTGTAAACGTAGTCAATGACTCTGCAGAAACTATTAGAAACAAACTATTCTTATGTATTAACTGTTTTTCTTTACCATTCCTGTTAAGCCAGTGTGTGTATGTGCAGTTATTTGCATGTGTGTGTGTGTGTGTGTGTGTGTACTATAAGGTTGACTGACCCATGGAACATGTTATTTTAGTTGTAATGTAATGAGTTATGACGGCTGCTCCTGGGGGAGGCACAGCCCACCTACACACTGACGTCACAGGCCCCCATTCTGTTTCTTCATTATGCCGGTGGAAAAACTGCTGTGATAAAAAAAAAAGAGAGAAAATTACTAGCAGCTCATTTGTCTGCAGGCGGTGGCTCGAAAGCTCGTATGGGGTCTTCAGGGAGGGTCATCTAACGTGATAGATAGTGGAATGGATGGATGGATGGATGGTTAAGCGGAAGGAAATACAAACAAGAGAGGTGAAGAAGTAATAATAGTAATGATGTTTATTTATAAACAGAGATAAATGAAAGGCTGAATCATGGGAGGGAACGCTGAGGGAAAGAGACGGGAATAAATGAAACTTTAATGATACATGTGTGGTTCACGAGTCTGCCCAACACTTAATGTAAATACTGGGAGTGAAGACCCCCACTCATCATTCACATGTGATAATTAAAGGTGTTCTCCTGCTGTCAGTGAGCAAAGCATTATTGTCCTTCAAGCGGATAAATGATTTAACCTTGATGCTAATTTTGTGTGAAAGTTTAGCCGAGGGGACGTTGTTCCATGTGGACGTAAATCCTGGGAAAATGCTCACAGGTTGTTTTTTTTTTTTTACTGTCTGCAAAGGTGCTAAGAAAGAAACGACTCTGCAGCTAATTTGTCAGCCGTGATAGCAGCGTGGCACTTTTATGAAAATGTTGCTCCTCTTTTATCTAGACTGAAATATCTCAACGACACACGTGGAGTGGAGTGAAAGAAATGTCAGCTGTTTATACGTGAACAATAGCCCAGAGCAGGGAGGTTACGTCGGGTGAAGAAACGGAGACAGGAAATAACTCACTCTCGTCTTTCTCCGCTTGTCCAGCTGATGACGAAGCATCCAGCGAAACGGCTCGGCTGCGGTCCGGAGGGGGAGCGAGACATCAGGGAGCACAGCTTCTTCCGTTACATGGACTGGGAGAAACTAGAGAACAAGGAGGTGCAGCCGCCATTCAAACCCAGAGCTGTAAGTCTGACCACACTTAACCTGACTTGACCCCGAATAAGGACGAGGCCCAAAGGGGGGAAATGAGTCACCAGCCACCACAGCAGAGACCAGGAGGGTTGATTTCTCTTCCTGGTGAAGACGTTGCTCAGAGCGTCACATTGTTGTGGTGGCGGAAAATGTTTCACTCCCGTCTTTCATTCTAACTTCCTCTGTTCTACACTGTGGTCTGTCCGTGTGACCTTTATCATCTTTTCACTTTTTCAATGTGGTGCCTCTGTCTCTCTCCCCTACTCTGAACGGAGAAGTTCACACAGGTAAGTCGAGACACTGGGGGGGGGATGAGTGTGCGGTGATGAGAGCCGGCCTGGTGTTAGGAATGATACCTGACACGTGGTGAGGAAGGTGCAGTGATGAATGTGAGTTTGGATGAGGAAGATGACAACGACTTTATGTGTATTCGATCGGTTTCAGCTGTCGAACCAAAGCACAACATTTTGGTGCAGCGTCATTCTGCCGGAGCTGAAGGGCTTTCTGTCTTCACTGGGGTGAGACTGAGTTTAGAGGATCCCTCCAGGGAGTCGGTGCACAGCGGTACAGACGGGACCCGACGTGACGAGCTGGGTTCAGGCAAACGTCTTGAAATGATATCGGGTTCAGTTTGGGTTTGGTCACGTCGGCTGAGCTCTCTACTTTTTGTTACTCTACATGTGCCTGAAACCGAGAATCATCGGGTTTAGTTTTCTCTCCACCTCGTCGGGTTTGGACAGAAAATTGCGAGACACACACACACACACACACACACACACACACTAATGTGACCATAATATGTACACACACTAACGCAGCCTAAGGCCACACTGCTGCTAAATAGTTTTTCCTTAGTTTTTTATGCAGCTGTCTTGGCCCGCTGGGGATTTGTGTACACATGCGTGTGTGTGTGTGTGTGCGTGCGTGCGTGTGTCTGAGGTCACATTAAGGACCTCCTGGCTGTCCTTCAGCTCTGAGTTGTGTGTGTGTGTGTGTGTGTGTCTCTGCTGTGACTACTAACACATGTCGTCTGATCTCTTCTATCTTCTCACCTTCTGTATCTGTCTCTTCTCTCTGTTTGATCTCATCTCTCTAACATCTTTTGTCTTTCACCCCTCTGCACTGTCACTTGCTATTTCTCTCGCCTCCCGTCTTTCCTCCCACTGAGGAGAACAGTTTTTGAAGCACCGTTGTGTTTACCCTGCATGAAAGAAAGTTTTGGGGTTCAGTTTTATCATTTGAAGGTGTTTTTTGATCTTTTTCGCTGCGACGCCATCAGACTTGTTTGAGCGATGTGACTAAAAACCCCTTTTTCTTTAGGCCGGTACGTGATGGTTTATGACGGATGTTTGATGCTTTCTAAATCCATATTGCTGGTCGACTAACTTTGATCAGAAGCTGGTTTCATAAGTCTTTCTAATCATGGTCTGTTTGTGGTTTTAAAAGCTGTGAATGTCCTTCAAGAGTCTGTTTGATCGTCAAACAATTGAGCTATTGACTGTGTGATTGACTGACGGACCGACTAACAGACTGACTGCTTTATTCATATTTCACTGATAAAGACGCTCGAATCATTTTCATTCACATTATTGCCGTGTAACTGTGTAAACAAGTCTGTCCCTCCAGCTGTCTGTCTATCGTTTCGCATTTCTCCATCATCAGTCCATCCTTCGACTGTATCTGTTCACATCAACCCACCTGTCCTCCCATCCACACATTTTTATTTGTCCTCTCAGTGTTCACGGTTGTCTCATGTTTGTTTCTGTTGATCTGCATGTTCAGTCTGGAGCTCAGTCTCAAATGAAACCTGTGTGCAGAGCACTACAGGAATCTCACGTTAGCACAGGATTTATATTTATTTACAGGAACTAAATCAAAACAAACTTAAAAATAAAAGATATCGCCATTTAATTCCCTGCAAAATCAAGAAGCAGCATTTCATCAAAACCAAACCCACACCTAGTCGTGAATATGATACAATAGCCAACACACTCTTGGCCAAGGTGTTCTGCACTGAACTGATATTTGTAAACTTTGTGGTGCTCATTTCATTCCCCATTTGGTAAATTCTCCCCATCTGGTCCCCAAACGAATGCAAGTAAGTAGCTGATTGACCCTGGTGTATATCTCATTTCACATATTTCCCCAAACTCTAAACAGTCTGGCTTAATTTCATTTGGTTTTCGGAGTTACAGAGATTTAATGAGTTTGTAGTTTTCCTCTGGGGGATGTTGTCAGAGGACATTCAATCCTTGTTGTGTTAATTAAAGCTCAGCACAGTGATGTAGATGGAAGGAAAAAAAAGGAATAGCTTGGCCCAAAGTCCCCGTGAGGCACACTGTCAGGAAAATATAGTTTTCAAGTTAATAACTTGTTTTATGTACTTAGACGGACGCAGGTCTCAGGGGTTTATAAGCTCTGTTTTTGGTTCCCAGTGGTCAGAAGGAGGAAATGAGGTGGACTGAAACGAACAATGAGGTTTTTTTTTTTTTTCCCAAATTGCTTCTTGAGAAAACAAATTCTACCTAATGTGACGGGGACAGTCTCTCTGTCAGCAGTCGAGAAGATAGCCAGGAGTAAGTTTGGATCGTTGCATCGATCTTCTTCTCTTACGACGCATGTGTCTCAATTACCAGAGTAGTTTTCAGTATTTTCAGCCAATAGATAATAATTCAAAATGACAATTCGATGTCATATATGAACTAGAACAGCCAAAGCTCAACAGGCCGCTTAAATTCAATCAAGCTGCAGCGAGTTTCACACAGATATGAGTTCTCTAAATAAGACATGCAGATCAGTGGAGAGGTATTTTACATAGTCCTGCTGACAAACCAATTAACCAACAAACACAGATGAAAACTTAATCTCCCTGGTGGACGTAAATATCTTGACAGGAAATTCAATATTTTGACAAACATGCAGATTCCAAGTTATTATCTAAACAGTTGTTCCCTGTGCTCAGTATGTGCACCGACGATTTGTGTTTTCGTATCTCAGCAGGTCTCCACAGCTGCAGCAAATAATGAACCCACAATTATGCCGTCATTAACTTGAGGCTTTCAGAATTTTCTTGTGCAACTATTTTGAAATTCCAATTAAATCCAAGCATTACAAGCAAAACTAGAATGAGTGGATACCTCTGCCCCCATGGAAACCACATTTGGAAACACTCATGAATATCAGTTCTCTAAATATGTCAGAAATTGTCATAAAATCTCATAAGAATTATGAATGTGGAAAAAAACAATTTATAGATGTGACCCCTGATTATAAACTAAAATAGAATTGCTGCTTCGGTCCCTGCACCCACCAGTCCAGCGTAGTGCACTGCCACAGGACGTTTGAGACTTCAGTGGCTTTGTTGTTTTTAAAAGTGGAGTTGAATATGTTTCAAATATTTGAAAAGGGAGCACTTGATTCATTCACATCACTTTGAAGGTGATTGTAAATCCTCCAGCTCAGCTGAGAGTTGAATCAAGCGCTCCCTCGAGCACTGGAACTTCATATTTGAAACCATGTTCAGGTAATGTCATCTCACACCCTGGTTCAACCTCGTCATTCCCCTTCTTTTGTTTTCCTCCCCGACCTCTCCCCCACCCACCCACCCCTGCCCCAATCCATCCATTCTTCTCCATCCCCGCCCTCCCCTCCCCCCCTATACTCCATCCCTCCCCATCCTCCTCAACAGTGCGGACGGGATGCTGAGAACTTTGACCGTTTTTTCACGCGCCACCCGCCCGTGCTGACCCCTCCCGATGAGGAAGTGATTCAGAACCTGGACCAGGACGAGTTCCAGGGATTCTCCTTTATCAACACGGGGTTCCCAGCAGCTGCTGCCACCCCCACTGCTGCCGAGCAGGCTTGATTTCCGCTCATGCACACATGACACATAGACACACTCACATAAAACACACAAAATCATTCCTGTACCTTGGAATATACACATACACACTTAATATATCCCAGAAATGTTTTGTGTTGTCACAATCACTTCGAAGCCACGACCTAAACACACACACACACACACACACACACACACACACACACACACACACATACATTTGTTGTTCACACTGTTGCAACCTGGGTCCTACTTTTGCCTCCCGTCAGTGTGCGGTGAAAAGCTATGAAACTAAATAGAGAATGTTGTGTTCTTGTGAAAATAATTCCTCAAGAACAACCTCGAGGGAATTTCTTCGAACTTTGTGCAAATGTTACAGCGAGGGTGAACTGATTTAATGTCAAAGGTCACGGTGACCTCATAGGAGTGTAGAAAGAAATATATATGTCTAAAACTGCACTGATGCACTCATCTCATGCTTCCACCTGATCAAAATGTTTCTATGAGCTGGTTTTATTTGCCCTGAACTTTCGGTAAGCATTGATGTGAGATGCTCTTACTGCTAAAACTCAGTGTGTATGATAATGTACATGAAACTAAACAACATCTGAGGTTAATGAGGAGACGCATGTTTTCACCCGGTTTTGTTTACGGTGTGAACAAAAAGTGTTTGTGTGTATTTCGCCAAACGTAACTGGAATCAGTGTTATGAGATTAACAACGAACTTATACAGTTTCATTAAATGTCAGATTTGCCGTGAGGGACAAAGATGTTTGGATAATAAAAGTAGCGTTGTAAGAATGCATAATTAAAAAGAATAGACAAAAAGAAGTCAGTGACCCAATGGTAGAATTAAGTCATGATTCCTTCAGCATTCCTCCTTTTACATGTAACATAGTTTCATCTTTAACTTTTTTCATTCTTGGGCTCTTCCAGCGAGTTAGTTAGGCCTGTTCTTCTGCTCTGCTTTTTATCCAATGTATAATAACAATAGTTGTGTCTCTTTATCCTTAACTTAGCTAAAACTGGAATGCTTGACATACTGTGCATGAGTTTCTATATTAGTAACAGCCAAAGACTTGTTCTCCCAACCACAGTTTAGCATCACATCTCAGCACCTCGCCGATCTTTCTCGTTTTAAGTATTAAAAGAAAACATTGGAATATATTTTTACCCAATGAGACAAACGGGGTAAGATCAGAGTTGTGCCACAAATATATAAACACAGATATCAGATTGAATGTGTGTGTTTTGCCAGTCATGATGGTAAAATGCTGTTGGGAAGTGTCGTCTTTGTTTGAGCTTTGAGTTAAATAGAAAATTATAACTTCTTACTCTAATTTTCTGTTATCTAGTATTTGAGCAATGAGAGACTGCAGCAGTTAGTTTCTTTGTGTTTTACAAAAGCATGATTCCAATACCTGGGCATTTGTTTACCATGTGTGTTTATGTGAGAGCGTGCACTTCTTGCACGTGTCCATATCTTCCCAGCTCCTTGTGTTTACGTCTGTTTGTGTGGTGAATGTCAGCCCCCCCCCACTCCCACTGTCTATCTAACAGTCTTTTAAAGATCCACTTCACTTCCAGTGGCTTCAGAGAGATACGATCAGGAGAAATAAATCAATTAGAAAAATAATAATCATCTATGTATGTGTTCGAATCGACACCGATAGTCCACGCAAAGCACCTTTCAAGGGATGTAGGGAACCCCCCCGGGCAAAAGAATCAAACCATATCAAAACATCCCAGACGATCTAGTCTTCAATTAAACCTCTGAAATGAAGCTCTTCTGCAGAGAGCTTGTGGCTCAACGGTGTTTCCGACCTTGTTGTCGTTGCAGTTTCCTGTACATGGCTGATCACAGAATTTAAGTTAATTTTGTTGCTGTGGACTAACATTAGAAGCTGCTCTCAGAGGCTCCCTCTCAGCTCAGGGCCACAGACATTTACCTGCTTTGCCCCCCCCCTGTTGCAACACCCCTGACTGCTGGTGAGAGTTTTCGTGTTGTGAAGGTGAGCTGAGCATGCCGCCCTACTTTTTTCATTTAAATACCAGATCATGTGGGAAAAGGATTCGAGGCTCGACTCACTGTGTTGGTTTCTTTCTCGTAGCCTTCTGCATCCGCAATAATAATTTCCATCCTGACCACAGCGGCCGTAAATGTGGACACAGGTTATCGCTGGGCTTCTGCAGCAGGAACATGTCTGTGTTGTGTCTTTTGTTTTCCTTAGCCAGCAATAATCTCGTTAACAGGAGAAGGGAGTGAAATATCGGAACTGGACACACTGTAGGATTGACTCAGGTTATAGGAGTGTAACTGATTCACGTACAAAGTCTATGAGGTTATGAAGCTTATGAAACATTTTCATCTCAGCCGGAGACAGAAGTGCAGCTAAAATTGTCTGGAAGTACCTGGTGTCCTTCCTCCTCCTCTTCATCACAGAGGGACATCAGGGGACTGTGATTTAGAACTTTCAGGTCAGTAGTAGTGGGATAAAGTTTTCTACATGTTTACAGCTGAAGACGTCTGTTGTGGTTATTTTTATAGCACAGCAGGAGTTAGAGGTGTTCAGGGGTCCGTTTAGTTCTGAGGACCCAAAGTTTGACTGTTGTCAGATCTGTGTCAGGATGAATCTACTCTGGTTTCAAGAAGAAAATCTTTTTGAAATTGATTTCTATGATTTTAGATGCGTTCATTGGACATTATTGTTGTACTCGTGCTCTTTTTGACTGCAGTTACTTCATGACAAGCATTCAGTGTTGGTTCTCTCTCTCTCTCTCTCTCTCTGTGTTTGGGTAAACAATGTTCTGGATCAGGTGCGACTGAGCTCAGGTCACATTCGGATCAGATCTGTTTTCTTTCCGTCTGCACAATTAGGTCCGGACCTTCTCCAGAGTTTGCTTTTCACACATGAACAATTCAGCAGGAGATTCCCCTCAGACGAGTTCACTAGCTCGCAGTGATCAAGATCTCCTGCTGTGTTCTCACTTGAGCTTACGGAGAATGTCCGGAAATTACCCAGAGTTCAGTGCTTGTCTGAGAGCAAGGGTCAAACTGACAAGAATGGGAATCACTATCTCCGCTACTATGAAACTGATTATTGTGAATATAATATATCTATACTCTATCTAAATTTAATTATGATTATTTCACAATAGAAGTGTTTGAATTTTTGAAGGAATTTCTTCTTTTTAGCTTTATTACAGAAGCTAAACATGCTCACATATCTGATAGTTCCAGTGATCACTTTCCATCAACTACAGTTTAGAGTAAAAACACAGAGCTATTGATTTCTGATGTGAATATTTCCACATACGAGTCAAACTGATGGATGAGTTCAGCAGCTGTGTTTCACATTTCATTCACAATGTGAAAGTAACCGTTGACGACGTACAGCTCATTCCTTGTCCATTATAATTGTGTCGGTGTTCATTACAATGTCCCCCTGTGTTATAATAGTCAAAATACCTATATCTATATACACATAATCATAAACTGTGTCAAATGTTGATATACACATATTATATACACTATCAGTATTATAAACGACTAGAGGAATAGAAGTCTTACTCCAGGATTTGTGCTTTTGTCTCTATGATTCCTTCCTGCTGAAGGAGAAGCAAAATGAAATCTGCATGACGACTGTTTTTGTTTGACCTTTTTACTAGTTAGGATTTATATACATCTAAACATATTAGGGTGATACATGTTTTCTGTGAGCGGTGCTTCAAAAGTGTGATCCGAGCTGAAAATAATGAAATGTGTAAAAAAGGACTAATGCTTCTCACAGTGCTTTCCATGTGCTATTGTTGTTTTCCAGGAAAAACAGGTATACCTAAAATAAAGGATTTAAAAGAGAATTAATGGGATTCATAGCACTGTGTTTATTTGATTTGCTTCAGGAAGTGGCTGCAAGCTTTTTCCATGTCTCTTCATCTCTGTATTTTAGCCCCTTGCTTTTCCTTCACTTCGTTCCTGTCTGACACAAACTGCTGCCGTCCATGGAGTGAAAGTGAGTGTCATAGTGAAAGAGAATAAGGAAGGGGTAGTGAGAGAGAGAGAGAGAGAGAGCGGCGTGAAGGTGGCGAGGAGAAAGCGAGATTCGAGCGATGGACAGTGACAGTCGGGGAGGTTTTCTGAGCAAATGTGAGGGAGAGAGAGGAAAAAGGCAGATGACAGGGAAGAGGAAAGCAATTCAACAACGGAGGGAGGTGAGAAGGGGGGGGGGAGAAAAAGGTAGTAAGGGGACGGCGGTGAAGAGGGAGGGGACGAGGAAGCAAAGCGAGGCTCTGTGAAGCGAGGCAGGCGGCTACGACAGGCTGTGCATATTTCATGGCTGCCACTTATCATAAGAGCCTTTCCCTGATGGGGGAGCGTAGGTCTGATGACTTCAAGGAAATAACATGCAGAACACGGCCTACATACACACAGCCCTGCTGAGCCACTCAGCCGCTTCACGCCGCCTCTAAAGCTGCTCACAATCAAATGTGCTTGAGCCGCCGCTCCAGCTGCTGCGGCTCCGACGCGCTGCACATTTACTTTTAACAGGGGTTACTGCATCTTGCACCATTTAATACCCCTGGTACAATGTAATGTTTACAAGTGTGGACACAAACTACACGCGGTGGTTCGGAACCGTGTCTGAGCTGCGGCACAATATGACGCGAAACAGAATCAACAACACACCAGTTATCCTCCGGGAGTGTGAATGCTGGAATGTGATCTTAGAAAGTGGCTGAGGTTCAGTTTCCCTGGGTGGTGAAGAGAAAAATGATACTGAGGCTCAACTTGGATGAAGTTGGTCAAACGTGCAGAAGCGACCTTTTATTTGTTTTATTTGGATATGAGCTGAAGGCATTTGACCATATGAGCACGTTCAAGATCCCACAAGTAATGGATTGTTTTTAAACTGAATTTAAAAACAGTGGAAGCAGAAACAAGTTTTTAAATATCTAATATGGAACAATTCTTCATTGAAATGTCTAAAAGCAACTCAACCTGTTATCTTTATACATTTTGTTGACCTGTGTTCTTACTTTATCCAAAATACTTTTCAAACTTTTAACAGGGCATTTCATTCGCCTTTAAATTGCATCATAACTTCTTGACTCGTGACCTTGATATGAGTCGGCTGTTTTTTCATTCATTTGTTTCAGTCGCTCGTTATAGATTATGATCATTCATTGCCGTTACAGTGAAGACAATAACTCCCATGATCCCACGCTGCTTCACAATGTCATCAAACTACATTTTTTCGTTATCATTATGATTGACAGACCCCTAGTGACACACGCGTTCAACAGAAACTGTAAAATATCACAGGATACTGAGCTTCAGTCTAACGCCGCTGGTTTGTTTTTGAATAGCTCCTGTTAACTACAGTGTAGATTCACTGATACGAACTCCAGATGTGAGCTAATTAACCAGCGAACCAGATCAGCAGGTTGAACCGAGAACATCCAGAATCGGAACTGTCAGGTGATAGATATCCCACAAAGAGTCCGACTCATCTCGACCTTTAGAACAAAATTCAATGGAGTACATTTCCATGGCAACACATTTCCACCGCTTGATAATTTATTAGCTTCACGTCGCTTCGTACACAACCACTCCCCTCTATGTCAACTGCATGATCACACTGGGGTGCAGCCGTATTTGATGCAACTTTATTCCTACAGCAGTTCAGACTCCTGTGTAACAGTAAGTTCCAGCACATAAGCTGTGTAAAGTTTGTATTGGAGTAGATGTAATAGCCAGTGTACACAGTAAGCCGCAGCAGTGCTGGAGTGCGTGTGATAATTAATTCCAAATGTTGCGGCCCCCAAATTAAAGCCAGTGGCTTCAGCACAAAGCAGCCTGCGCTTATCAGTCCAAAACAGGTCAGCGTTCGATACCGCCTTTCATTCACCCTCCTCTCCTCATCACCTCCCCTTTCCTCTGTGCCTCCCACTCTTCCGCATCCTCAGCTCGCATCGTCTCTCCTCCCGCTAATCCTCTCGTTACTGAAAAGAGATGGGGCGAGAGAGGCAGAGACTAAATTAAGGACTCAGAGTCATGTTTCTCTATTAAAACCACCGCCTCTGGAACACAGTGATGTGAAAAATAATTGTGTGTTTGCCCCGATGCTACTGTTAATTCTGAGCTTCTGATCTATACCAAGGGCCACTGATATTTATCTCACTCCCTGTCCTTTACTGCATCGCTCCTCTTTTTTTTTTTCCTCTCCATATCTCTGTCTCTCTGCCTCACAGCATTTACCGCAATTGAAGCGCGCTGAGATGGAACACATTATGAGCCGGCCTACATGGCTGGCAGCTGTGTGTGTGCGTGTGTGGTAAATAACTGCGTGCATGGTCTCTGGCTGTGTACATAGGAGTTCTTTCTTTGTCATATGTTGAATGACATTTCGTTTGAAAGTAAATCGATCATTAAAGATTACTGACATACACGTGTAAAGTTTCACAGAATACTCCTTCAGGATATGATCGCTACGCTGTAGATTCCAAACCTGCCAAGTGCTTCTGCTTTAAATGAAACTAAATCCAAAAGTTGATCAGAAAACCTCATTCTGATATGAAAGTGGAATCATGCCCATGAGTGTCTTGGCAGCCATGCAGGAGTGCAGGCCTCCCTTGAGAGGAAGCACCCTGGTGGATATCATGCCCAGGAACGTGAGGTGGATCTGGGCCAGCTGTGGCAGGTGTGTACCTGTGGATGGAGACGGCTCCTCCGAGGCCGTGGGAGAGTTGGCAGAAGGTAGGAGATGCGACATTTGTTTGTGGTGCCTGTGATCTTCAAAGCTCTCCTGTCCCTCGCTGTCTCTCTCTCGTCGATGTTTCTGACCCCACCCGCCCCTCCACCTCCTCCTCCTCCTCCTCGCTCATGAACAGGAACTCTTGATGTGCAAGCGTGTAATCGTCTCTACCTTCACAAGTGTTGGAGTAAAATAATAACACCACAGATTCCACTCTTCTTTATACCTGTCCCTCTTTCGTCCTCGTGCTGTGAGTTGGTCTGTGGCTTCAGTTATCTGTGTTTTCCAGATGTTAAGATGCTCAGACTCTTGACTTTGTGGACGTGTTTGGCAAATTCTCTGGCTTCCCTCGCTGTCTTTTTACATAAAATATTCATGGTTGTGGATTTTCTGAGATTGCCCCTTGTGTGGATTTCTCTGTGGCCGCTGCTCGCTTAGTGATGTGCATATTTACTGTATGTGGCCAGCTTTCATTCTCCTGCTGTCCCTCTCTGATTCCGTCTGTCTGTCTGTCCATCTACACTGATCGGACCAACAGACCAATTCACTAACACTCAATTGAGTTTTAATAAAATGAAAACAAAGTGAGATATTCAATCCGTTTGATTTAGTTTGAGAAGACTGTTGTTTTTGACGAGTTGTGTTTTCAAAGACATAGTATGGATGTACACAGTCTGCT